CCTAAACCTGATACGACTACAGCTCCTATGGCGCATAGAGGTATCTCTCGTACAAGCATACGCTTTACCCTGAAATGTGGCTTACTTTCCTGAAACGGTCTATCAATATGCATGTCGTGTGATGATACATAGATGAGGCTTTGGCCCTCGTCTCTGAAGGCCACCATCACACACAAGGGTCACATAGTCCCTCGGCTCCATCATCCGGGCATACTCGGACCTCATCAAGGGATGACCTATTAGAACCCTTATCGGTTTATACTCTAAACCCAGGTAACAAGGGTTTTTCCTAAGTGATTGGCCTAGATCGTCAAGCACAATCTGGTATCAGCAACTATCGTTTACTTAGTATAGTCCACGAGAGACCACGCTCCCACTGAGTTTATGTTCCATCATATCAAATGTTTCATCAAGCCTTTAAAGGCCACATAAACCCAACATTATGTACCGTGGATGGAAGATGAGATCGAAGAATGAGCAGTCCACTCTATGAGATAATGACAGTAAATGTAGAGGCTCTTCAAGATAACTACCTGTGTTTAAAGGGCAAGCTTTCTATGCTTCCCCTACAGAATAAAACTTATATACTTCCCTTTATCCAAGTGTCCATTCTAAATAGAGGGCTAAGATTGCCCCAATCACAATGTCACGTCTCTACACTATTTTATTTTTTATTTTTTTCTATAAACTATTTTGACACCAAATTTTGGATGTCTAATCCTCTATTAAACTTGTACTAGCGAAAAATATAAAAAAAATATTTTCAAAAAAATAAAATGACCAAAATATTTGTATAGTTTATCGAAAATTTTTTTTTTAATATTTTTTATAGGTGCGCCCCAATGAGAAGATGACACGTACCAAATTTCATATTCATACAATTTGTATAAAAAAAGCTAACAATAAAATACTTTCGAGATGTTGGATCTAAGATCAAACGATGAATGGCTCTCTTGATCAAAATTGGACGGTTGGATGGTAGGGGAAGCATAGATCTTCGATGATGTAGGGCAAGTATAAAAACCTTTCCCGTATTGATACAAATAATATTATGGCTATTTTAATTTTTAATTATTCTTTTGTTTATCTCTTCAAGAATAGAGTGCACATGGATAATTAGGTGGACATGAATTTATCTTGTGCATATTAATCAATTGGATTGGGTCAGTTTAAGAGTATAAATAGGGAAGAGAGAGGAAATAGGGAAAAAGAGATAAAATAGGACAAGTGTAAAGAGAGTTTTTCTTATTAATGTTTATCTTATTTTTAGTCTATTTAAAGGGAGGTTTCCCTTCATTGTAAAAGATGTTGATGAGTTAATAAAATTTGATCTCGTGAAGAGATTTTTTGCGGTGGATTCCCTTGCAGACTTTGAGATAGGGTATATTCTCTCAACCTTAGGGTGAATTCCCTTGTAGACCCTGAGATAGGGTATATTCTCTCAATCATTTTCGTTTTATTTTTTTGTTATTATTCTTTCCATCAAAGCTGCGTCAATTGGTATCAGAGCAAGTCCGATCTTGAGAGCAAGTTAGATCTTAAGAGCAAGTTAGATCAGAGCAACTTAGGTCCAGATTTTACAATGCCACAAAAAACGAATCAAGCTAATCCTGCTCCTATGGATGATTGTTGGGGACAAGTTATAAAAATTTTTACTAAAGCTCTAGAGGATTTTCGAACTGAAATACGTGAAATGAATCAAGAAATGAATAAGAGATTGCAGCGGTTGGAGAACAATCTTCCTCGTGAAGAAGGTACTCACAACCACATTCATCTTGCACCAGTAATTCTACGACAAATCCAGGGTGTTGATTTCAAGCATATTGAAGAACTTTATAAGCCAGATTCACTGTGTTCTATAGATAAGCTAGATCCGCCACATCCTATAAAACGACCACCAAATTTTGACATTAAAATCGATCTCCCAAAATTTCATAGTCACACGTGTTCATCAATTGAACTTGGTGTTTTTTGGAGCTGTACCCATTCCTGGTTAGGAATAATCAGCCCAAGCTCGTTGTAGGCATCAGTCTTGAAGAAAAAATATTGAGGCTCATGGTGGGACTTCATCACCAACTTTTGAGCTCGAGGTCGAGCTTCTCCCAGCCCGGGGAGAATGATGTAAATAATATTAGGGTTATTTTAATTTTTAATTATTCTTTTGTTTATCTCTTCAAGAATAGGGTTCACAGAGATAATTAGGTGGGCATAAATTTATCGAATTTATCTTGTGCATATTGATCAATTGGATTGGGTTAGTTTAAGAGTATAAATAGATAAGGTTAAATTAGGAGAGCTAGTTTATGAATGTAAAATAATAAGGTTCAATAAAATGTAGTTTTTAGGCTTTGGATAAAAAGGGATGGTACGTGAGGTTAAGGGAAGAGAGAGGAAATAGGGAAGAAGAGATAAAATAGGAGAAGTGTAGAGATAGTTTTTCTTGTTAATGTTTATCTTATTTTTTAGCCTATTTAAAAGGAGGTTTCCCTTCATTATAAAAGAGGTGGATGAGTTAATAAAAGTTGGTCTCGTGAAGAGATTTTTTACGGTGGATTCCCTTGCAGGCTTTGAGAGAGGGTTTATTCTGTCAACCTTGGGGTGAATTCCCTTGCAGACCCTGAGAGAGGATATATTCTCTCAACCTTTTTCGTTTTATTTTTTTGTTATTATTTCTTTCCATCAAAGCTGCGTCAATTGGTATCAGAGCAAGTCAGATCCTGAGAGCAAGTTAGATCATAGCAAGTTAGGTCCAGAGTTTACAATGCCACAAAAAACGAATCAAGCTAATGCTGCTCCGATGGATGATCGTTGGGGGCAAGTTATAGAAAAGTTTACTAAAGCCCTAGAGGATTTTCGAACTGAAGTACGTGAGATGAATCAAGAAATGAATAAGAGGTTGCGGTTGGAGAACAATCTTCCTTGTGAAGAAGATACTCATAACCACATTCATCTTGCACCAGTAATTCTACGACAAATCCAGGGTGTTGATTTCAAGCATTGAAGAAATTTATAAGCCAGATTCACTGTGTTCTATAGATAAGCCAGATCCGCCACGTCCTATAAAACGACCACCAAATTTTGACATTAAAATCGATCTCTCAAAATTTCATAGCCACGCGTGTTCATCAATTGAACTTGGTGTTTTTTTGGAGCTGTACCCATTCCTGGTTAGGAATAATCAGCCCAAGCTCATTGTAGGCATCAGTCTTGAAGAAAAAATATCGAGGCTCTTGGTGGGACTTCATCACCAACTTTTGAGCTCGAGGTCGAGCTTCTCCCAACCCGGGGAGAATGATGTAAATAATATTAGGGTTATTTTAATTTTTAATTATTCTTTTGTTTATCTTTTCAGGAATAGGGTTCATAGGGATAATTAGGTGGGCATGAATTTATCGATTTTATCGTATGCATATTAATCAATTGGATTGGATTAGTTTAAGAGTATACATAGATAAGTTTAAATTAGGAGAGCTAGTTTAGGAATGTAAAATGATAAGGTTAAATAAAATGTAGTTTTTAGGCTTTGGATAAAAAGAGATGGTACGTGAGGTTAAGGGAAGAGAGAGGAAATGGGGAAGAAGAGATAAAATAGGAAAAGTGTAGAGAGAGTTTTTCTTGTTAATGTTTGTCTTATGTTTTAGTCGATTTAAATAAAGGTTTCCCTTCATTGTAAAAGATGTGGATGAGTTAATAAAATTTGGTCTCGTGTAGAGATTTTTTGCGGTGGATTCCCTTGCAGACTTTGAGAGATGGTATATTCTCTCAACCTTGGGGTGAATTCCCTCTCAGACCTTGAGAAAGGGTATATTCTCTCAACCTTTTATTTATATTTTTTTTTGTTTTATTTTTTTTACATCACGTATTTAGAATGACTTTTAAGCAAGTCTATTTAACAACATATCCCGTGTACTCTTTCACTCGTTTTGGTTGAAAATAACTTGTACCTTTTGTCTTCAAGGTTCTTTCTCTCATATTTTTCTAGAAGCCAATGACTTAGTGGATCACTTAGTCAGCCAAATTTCGAGTTTCCTTACCATTGCTGTCTATTTTTATGCTTTGATACTGGTATTGTAAATGATACTTTTAAGCACACAATCAATAAAAGTTCATAATCTTGTGAAAAAAAAAAGAGAAAAAAAAAGCAATGCAGTCTATGAGAGAAGAACAGTAAATGTAAAGGCTATGTGTAAAAAAGCTTTTACAATAGCTACCTCTATCCGTCGTTGATAATTTTTTTTTTTAATTTTAAAAATAGAAAATGTCAAATATAATTACTCTATGTTTTTGGATGATTACATGGGATTGAAAGGTGGCTTCTTTTTTATGGTCCCCATCTGTTTATTGGGTTATATATAGTTTGTGTAAGGCTAATGTGCGCCAATGCGTGCCACGTCTATATGAAGCCACATTTGCAAGTCTTTAAATAATCAAAATAAAGTGTACCTTCAAATAGTATCGAGAGATGTAGTTTCAATATTAAAATTTTTTTCAGCAGCTTTATAATATAATTTTATCTTTAATTATAAAATTTTAAAAAATAATGTATATCATCTTTTCAGTAGCTTTAAAATATAATTTTATCTTTAATTATAAAATTTTAAAAAATAATGTACATCGATTATAGTTATAAAAACTTGAAAAGTTTAAAAATTGACGGTGTTTTTATATTTAATTATGAAATTTAAAACTTCAAAAATAATATAGATCCATCATATTTATAAAAATTTAAAAATATTAAAAATTAACGGTTCAAAAATATATTATCAGATGTATTATTTTTAAATTTAAAAATATATCTCATGTTCATATATCGTGATGTAGAGATTATCAATTTAAAGATATTTAAAAATCAAAACAACCTCTTGTAATGAAAATTTTAAAGTGGGCTCTAATTTGATTGTAATGAAAATTTTAAAGTGGGCTCTAATTTGATTGGTTAGAGCCGGCTCTATATAAACTTTTTCCTTTAAAATTATCCTTCCCTAGAACGTTATCCCATCGCATGTTAGTTCGGAAGGCTCAGGAAAAGAAGCGCGCAAGGCCAACCTTCTCTGCGTGTAGAGAGAGAGAGAGAGAGAAAGCTCTCTCTCTCATGGCCATTTTAGGTCACCTCAAACCTAGCATTCTGCCGTCTCTCAGTAATGGCGCTTCTGCATTTCCAGGTACTTGTCTATTCCAGTTTACCCTAGCATTTTTGCTTTCTTTGTGTTTCCTTCAATTTTGCCGTCATTTCTTACTCTATTGATGTCACAAGTACCTTTTAGTGCACTTGTTTTCCTCCTTGCTCGATTTCAATAAGTTTTCTCCTGCAATTGTATTCTGGCCTCAGTTTTGAAGTGCTAGTTTTTCTCATCGATGTATTTGAAACAATCTGAAATTGTATTGTCCCTGAAGTATGCTTTTCTTGACATGGAAACATCAGGTAATCTAATGTCAGTTTCTTTCAAGTTTCCAGTTGTGCAAATCACTTCTGCCTTCCATTCAAAGTAATAGAAACCTAGAGTATTATAGAGAGAGAGAAAAGGTATCACATGAGTGAAGGGAACTCTTTGTAGAGAGAGAAAAAGGGGGTTTTGGGGAATAAAGAGATTGAGGGTTTCACTTGGTAAACCCTAGTTTCTTTTTGCCTTGCATTGGACTGGATTTCATCAACGTTTCAGTGACAGTGATAGTCGAAGGTAGCAAAGAAAGTGACGGAGATAGTCGAAGGTACCAAACTAAATCCCTCACAAATCGAATTTTCTTGAAGAGAACATTGTATATTTGTATTATTTGAGGATGAGAGATGGCATGAAGTGTCTGAGCACTTGAATGAAATCAACAACATAATTTGTCAACTTGATAGTATCGTGGTAAAGATGGATGCGGAAGCTAATGCGGTGACATTGTTTTGTTCATTACTAGAGTCTTATGATAATCTTGTTACTACATTGAGTTGTAATAAGGAAGAATACCTCAAATTCAATTCTCTTGCCAATGAGCTTCGAAAGTAGGCATTGATAGATGATTTGATGGGTTCAAGGATGGATGTTCTTATGGTAGGAGGATAGTTGGATGAATGGTTTGGCTCATAGCCAATCAAACTCAGGGAGCATTATGACATAGGTTGTTGGTTTTGTGGCAAGCCTGGCCACATAAAGAAAAAGTATTGGAAAAGAAAAAGGGTAAATTCCTCAAAGGGTTCCAGTTTAGTAATGGAATAGTAAGGTGAAGTCAAGAATGAGGTTGACTAAGTAGAAGAATAAACATCTTATTATATAGAAGAGGAGGTGTTGATGGTGGGATACAATCCCATGTACTATCAAAGTAGGATACTTGATAGTGCAGCCACACATCATATGTGTCGGCATAGATCGTGGTTTGATCTATATGAGCCATATGAGGGCGGTTTGGCATCAATGTGGCACAATTCAATGAATAAGATGATCGGTATATGCTCGATTCACATAAAAATGTATGATGATATGGTTCAGACATTTGAAACTGTGAGATATGCGCCGGATTTAAAGAAGAGCTTGGTTTCACTTTCCCCTGATATGGAAGGCTACAAATTTACCAGGGAAGGTGGAGTGCTCAAAGTTTCAAAGGGGCTCTAGTTATGATGGAGTGAGTCCGGGAAGGAAACTTGTATAAATTGTTGGGGAGCACAATTATAAATGACTTAGTAAATTTGGTTATAGAAGAAGAAGAAGCTTGATAACGGGCGCATGATTTGGCAATTGAAGATCCTGGTGGTGCAAAGCAAGGTCTTGATAAGGATATTCGGCAAGGTGGAGAAATTGAAGATTTGGGGCTTTCACAATAGAAGCACCTCATGAATTTCCTTCGGGCCAATGTACAAAATTTGGTGAAGGCAGGGCCAATGTGATTAGAGTGTTGTATATTACTCTAGCATTGGTTTTGATCATTGCCATGATTTGAGCAAAATTTTCCATCTCACTTGTTTATTGCCTTCTTGATTGGCTTGTGTCAGCCTAGGAAGTAAATGTTGGAATGAAGTGAAATGTGTACTTTGAAATTTAAGAAGTTTGGACAAGTATTGCCAACGTTTTGAGTATATTCAAGGCTTTGTGGGAACAACTAATGCAAAAGATCTCGTGGACATGAGATCAAGCACCAGTTGTGCTTGTAGTGTGCTAGAAATGATTTACATAGAACATGTATTAAGGCAAGATGGTCTCAAGAACTCAAGGATGAGAATGTAGAAGAAGGTGGAGTTTGTATAAGAAAAGCAAGCATAAAGGAAGATGAACAAGACATGCTCATGGAGATTATTGGGCTAGAGAGCTTGCGGCAATGGCCAAGTTCTCTAGGTTTTTCAACAAAAGAATAATCGAATATGGATGACACTTTAAGATGTGATTTTGCATCAAGGTAGAGATTGGTGGTGCAAAACATAGTTATCGGAATGTCCTACTTTGATATGCGATCCCTTTGAGGATTTCGATTTCGTCGCTCTCGAAAAGGATTTCTCAGGGATCTTGTTTTTTAAATTTTGGGATCTCGAACTCCACTGATAAGGATCCTTATTCCTGCTGTTAGGGACCTCGATCCCAATCTTAAATACCAAGACAACAACCAAATTGATGATTTTCTTTGTTTATAGGCAACTAGCAAAGCAACTATTGCTTGCTTGCTGTCAATAATGAGATCCCTACTTTAAAGAGTATACGTATCCTAGATTATCATACACTTGAAGGTTGGTAACAAGATCCAAAAAGCTGGGATCAAGATCCCAAAATGTTGGGAACAAGATCCTAAAAGGTTGGAATCTCAATCCTTAAGGGTATGTTTGATAAAACATGATAGTAAATGTTCATGGTTTTAGATATCTGGATAAAAGCATTGTTGACTTTTCGTATATCTTAATTGTTCATTATCTTGATCATTGATTTTTTTGGTCTGTTTGACAATTAACCATATCTATATATTTTGAGAATCTCTGCTTGCATTACATCACCCTCTCAACATGAAATTGTTTGGGTCAGGTTTCAGCTTCCCTCTCATGACCTCCTTTCTCATGAACTTCTCTCTCTGCTTGAAAATTTCATTCATGGCCTGTGGTTCATTTGGTCATTCAACCAGAACTTTTATCAAACAAAGCATCAGCCTCATCAAACGTTAAACCCAATTACCCATTGGGAGCCTCATCAAACCTTATGGAGCCACTATAAAGACTCCATTACCAATTGAGTTGGATCACTTGCACCATTCAGAGCATCCCTTTTGCATCCTTCTCTTCAGTAAACATCTTCAGCTGGGTCCTCTACTCAATCATGGTGACCTAAATTCATATGGCTAACAATCAGTGTGTTTTGACTAAAGAGAAACATCTAGCTTGCTATTTTCTGGCTATACCTTCTTGTGAGCTCCTTCAATGGCCGAAGGGGCAGCATCTCTCTGTTCTTGAACATGCTCTGATGGTGCTTCTTTTGTCCAGCATTTGTTTTGCCTTTGAAGCTCTTCGGAATGCTTTATCACCTTTCAGAATGCTTTGTCATCTTTCTCACTCAGAGAAAGAGGGGCGCGAAATCAAAACACCAAAATCCAATTGTAAAGAGAAATATAAAAGATTAAATTTCTCTATCACCTTTCTCTCTAAAATCGATGGGCCTTTGTAAATTGTCGTCTCTGAGAAGAAAGAATTCCATTGCGATGTATTGTCCAGCTAAAGCAATGATTTTTGGAGTTTTAAAGAGCAAGGGTTAGGGTTAGGAAAGATGGGAGGGTGGGACTTGTTTTAAAGAAGTCGTTTAGAGAGAGAAAGCCCAAAACGGAAGTGGGTTTCCAGGGATGGAGTGGGGAGCACGTCGTGATGGACTTGAAAAACGGAGAACCAAATCTCACAAAATTCAAGTCTGACTTGAATTTGTAGGATTCAGATAAGTATGTCTTATCTTAATATTAGATGATACTATTTTGGTCAATCAAACAAGTCAAAGACTCGTATCACATCCTTTAGGATCAAAATTATTAAAGATTCCACAATATCTTGAAATATTAGGATATTATGGGGTTGTCAAACATACCCTAACATTTAGGGATCTCGATCCCTAACATGTGCATTGTACAGACGGCGTTTCCAACCATAGGGATCTTTTAGCATTTCACGATCCCTTGCTCTTGATTCCGATCCTGGTACTGTTCCTGCACCTGATCCCAACAACTATGGTATAAAGTCACCTCCCATTTATCCTAAGGTATTTCTCTCAGTCTCTAAGGGTATTAGGTTACCTCCCATTTGTATAAGGTTGAGGCTGTAAACAATCAAAGTAAAGCTCACCTTCAAATAGTGTCGAGAATTGTGGTTTCAATATTGGAAATCTTTGTGATAGCCTTAAAATATATTGTCATCTCTAATTATAAAATTTAAAAAGCTTCAAAAATAGTGTAGATCGAGTAGATATTTAAAAACTTGAATATCTTGAAAATTGACAGTAAAAAAAGGCATTACAAGATCCAGTATTTTCAGAACTTGAAATCCATATTTTTATCATGTCCATGCATCTTGAGGTCGAGATGATTATTTGAGGATTTTTGAGCATCCATACAACCTCTTCTAATGAAATTTTTGAGGTGTGCCTTAATTTGATTGTTTAAAGCCTCACACTAATATAAACATTTTCCCAAGTAAAATGAACTTTATGGGTTATGAAGTGATAATAGAAAGAAAAAGGGTATCACGTGAGTATGAGGGAGGTCTTTGTAGAGAGTGAAAAGGGAGTTTTGGTGAAGAAAGAGATTGAGGGTTTCACTTGGTGAACCTAGCTTCTCTGTGCCTTGCATTGAGTGGGATTTCATTGGCTTTTCTTGGTGGCAACGGAGATAGTTGAAGGTAGCAAAGAACGGAGTCGATTGATAGTTTTTTTGTGGTAGTAAAAATTATTTTGAGCTTTTTCTTTACCATTGTAAGGTAATTTCTACATATCCAAAACTTGTAATTCTTTCATTGATAGTGAGTCATGTCCTTGCCAATTGCCTAGTAGATGTCGCCCGATTTTGGGTGAACCACGTATATTTTATGTTGATAGTGCTTTGATTATGGTCTGTGGTGTGTGGTTGTGCCATTGGAGTTTCTAGTTTATTTTCTCTTGATTTCATCATATTTTTATCAAATTTACTGCACCATGTTCGATTATTGGGGTGTATGGATTTCTTGGAATTGATTTGCTGGTTATAGGTGAGTTGGTTTCAAGGTGTTAGATTTATTGTAGTGGGGGGTTCATTGCAACAAGGAGTGGTCGAGCTAGCCTCGGTTCCTAACAATAGTTGATTAAATGATTTAGACTTGGTGGTCATGGGTATTTGACTAGTTGTTCTCAATCATTCTTTTTCCAATCTGCCTGGTTTAATGATTAAAATGAGGGTAAGGAGGTTTTATATTTCCTGTAATACTTCCAATTCTCCAAATTATGTTAATAGGATGAACTTTTGGGTTTCACCAAAAGACATTTGGTCAATTTTAGAGTTGGTTTGGTAGTTAAGGTGTTCAAGGGCCGCAGCCTACATTACAATGTTATGGTTTGCGTCCATTATTGACCTAAGAAGAGAAAATGTTTCTCCCCACAATTCTTTCAGTTTCCAACTTACAAAACTTACTCCTGAAATTTCTGAATGACTCACGCACTTCTTTTTAATAATCCAGTGTCTGTTACAGTTTCCACTGACCTTGTAAATCTCCTCTTTCCAAGTTAGTTACAAATGCCAGTAATTAGACAATAGATGTTACCTTAAATCCTATAACTCTAATCACACCCCTATGTCCCATAACTGTACAAATGGTCAGCATTGCCCAGCCCTTCGGTGCAATCGTGTAGCACGATGAAAAGTAGTCCTCTGATTTCTAACTCTACACCCCAGAAGAAAGCCATTCCTTAGAGTTGAGTTCTAAAGAAGGTAGGGTATCTTCATTATCAACAATAGTAAAGGCCCTAAATGCTGTTAAGGGAGCTCAACAGTCACTTTGAGATTGCTGAAGAGACACTATCTCCTTAGAAAAACCGTATGGTTTACTATAAGAGGAAGTCTTTGCAATCTAGTTTGTTCATGACAATTAGGGGAAGCATCTGTGGTCCAAGAGGCCATAGTAAAAGGTGTGTATTGATTGCTATAAAAATAGAAGAAAGGAAGCAGAAAAGAGTTTGGGTTGTTTAGTAAGTTAAAACTAGGGGTTATGAAAAAAGGAAGAAAGTTAGGGGTTATGTCTTCTGATATCTATCATGTTACTTTAGATTTAAATTTGCCAACTTCAATCAACCTGTGAGCCTCACCTGGTATGTTTTATTGTTTCAAAATTTTGGGCTCAATACTTTGTGTTTCGGTATACTTGAGGAGAATGATACAATTTGTTAACTTGGTTGCACTATGAGTTCATGGCTGTTAGCTTAGTTTACATTGTCATGCTGCTTATGTTCATCATCTCTTTACCTTTTTTAAATTTTGATTTATTTATGTCTGGAATAGGTTTTTAATCTAATTTACCATCAACTAACTGCAGGATGTAAGCATTTTGTTAGTTATGGTTTGAATTCATTCATTCAAGTCTCCCCAAGAACTTTTCTATATGGAAAGAATGATGTGAGGACATCACAGGAAGTGTTATCTGCCACAACAAATAAATCAGGTTTATTTCAAAAGATGTCATTGCTATTGTCAATACTTGATCTTAGAACTTGTTCATTTAGTTTCTTGTCTCAATTGTGCTTTTTTCGCTACATATGGTTGTTTCAAATTATCATATTTTTTAACAGTCTAAATGATGCTCTGTCTCAGCATCGACAGATGTTGTGAAAGAAAAAGACCTGGACAAAACGTCTGAGGAGCTCTACATGAGTGGAAATGCCATTAGGCAACGATTTCTTGAATTCTATGCCTCTCGTGGTCATAAGGTTCTTCCAAGTGCATCCCTTGTGCCAGACGATCCTACAGTCCTCCTAACAATTGCTGGAATGCTTCAATTCAAGCCCATATTTCTTGGACGAGTATGTATCGTATTGCTTAATTACCTTGATGATTAGGTAGAAATTTGTTGAATACCCTTATCCCTCAGTGACACTCTTTGCTTGTATTTTCTCAACTTCCATTAGTTTTCCACATTGTAAAGTGCAAGGTGTTTTTTGTCTTGTACGGTTTTTTTGCATCACCATATGTTTAAGTGTACTATCGGGATTCAACTGATGGCTGATTCAAGCACTACATTGTCTAGCGTGGATTATAAGAAAATGAAACTAGATTATTTGTGAGTAACATTATTGTAACATGCATGGAAAACTTCCAACATTTCCACTTGATGGGGTTAGTTTACATCTTGATATATCTGAAGTTTGATTCAAAAGCTGAACTTTTTCTCTCCCTTCTAGATATGTTTTCTGGATTAAGTGAATTTATTGCTAAAAGTATGAGATGCTTATGAATATTGAATGTAGTTTGATAGATTAATGGATGTTGTTTGGTGAATGTTGAACTACATTGTTCTTGTTCTTTTGATCTTGGCAGTGACATTTATCATTCTTATCTATCCCAATATTGAAATTATTCTTAATGTTTTTACATAACATGTTAAAGCAGAGGATGGTGCATTTTACGGTGAGCTATTTTGTATTACACTAGTTGTTGGCAGGAATGCATATTTAATGTCTAGCCTTTGTATCTACTAATGGTAGGACTTGTATGTTATCCATTACAACAACAGTTATGAAATGTGTTGTGCAGGCATCTAGGCAAGTTGCTCGTGCTACAACAGCACAAAGGTGCATACGCACAAATGATGTGGAAAATGTTGGCCGAACATCACGGCATCACACCTTTTTTGAGATGCTTGGCAACTTCAGCTTTGGGGATTATTTCAAGAGGGAGGCAATTCATTGGGCTTGGGAACTCTCTGTAAAGGAGTATGTATAGATATTTATGGCTGCTATATAATAATAAAATGTCTTTCCATCCTAACTAAAACATTATTGCTCCCTTAATTAGATATTGATATTTATAGTGTGCTGTGGTGCTCTTCTAATTAGATATTGATATTGATATTTATAGTGTGCTGTGGCAACCATATCTTTTCCCTCTTATGATCTTCTTAATTATTTTAAAATGAAATTATTAAATGCAATGGTCCTTTGTATATGGGCATGTATATCGGATTTTGGATCGAGCCTCATCGACCAATGATTATAACATGAGATATGGATCAACATTTGAGAACCTCCAGGTATCTTAGTGAGTGAATTCAAAAATTCAAATGTAATTGTTCACAAATTTGATTGTTTTTTTCTTATGTCCAACTTAGAGCTACTATTACTTCTAAAATTTCGTTGGTGCAGTTTATCTCTTAAAAGAAGGGTTTGAGAAGGCACTTATTATAGAAATTACACCATCGTAGTTAAGATTGGATAAGCTATCCAAAATTATATTGTCCCAGTCGGCCTTCTTGCATTCAGATTCTGCATAAAAGCTGGTTGTCAAACATTGGATATTTGTATTGTAGTCCTAATGCTTGACTTCTGAGCCAAGAGCTGGTGTAGTGAGTGGTAGGTGATCCAAGGACTTGTAGCTCATTAGTGCAAGCAATACTGATGGTCATTGTTGAAACAGTTGGCCGCCTAGGCAGCCATGCTGCCAAAACACCTTGGGGTGCCTTAGGTGGGCATTCTAGGCATGCTTGCTCCTAGGTACCTGCCTGGGCGCATCGCCCAGGCCTAGGCGGCCAAACTAGGAGGGTGGTTCTTGGGTGGCCGGCCAGGGCTTGCGCCTCGTCCAGGTGTGGAAATACCATTTGTTGAGGGTTTTTTTGAAAAAAAATTGTTTTTAAAGGTGGGTTTTAGGTTCATTTGAAACCTAAACCTGCTAGTGCCCATTTTAGAGAGAGAAACCTACAAAAAATAGATTTTGTAATTTTCATTGGATCGAAGTGTTTCTCAAAGTTACGGGAAATGGATCCAAACATCACTCATTAAGATTAGATTTAGTTTTGGAGTTTTTTAGGCCTATTAGACAGTGTTTTTGAAGATTTTAGCACTAGAAAACATCTCAGAGATGGAAGCTTGAAGATCGAACAATCAAAGTAAGTGCAAAACTTTAATTTTTAGATTGCTTGTATTATTTTGAGATGTCTTCTTCACGATCTAGCTGAAGTGGTGATCCGAGCTGGAAATATGATTATGGATATAACCCGAATCCGAATGACAAAATTTGCATACGATGCATTTGATGTGAAAATGACACAAAAAGGGCCATAAACCAGTTTAAGAAACATCTTGCTGGTATTAAGGGGAATGTTGCCCCTTAACGTTCTTGAAGCTATCAGAGAGAAGATTAACCAATATATGAGTTCAGTAAAACACAAATAGGAATAAAATCCTTGTCATTTGGATAGGTCTATTTCTGATACTGCTAGAAGAAGTGAACGGGTTGGAAGTATGGTTATAACTCACAATCAAACGATAGAAATTGTGTAAGGTGTAATTTTTGTGAAAAAGATACTAATGGGGTATTAATCTATTCAAGAAACACCTTACCGGTATTAAAGGGAATGGTTCTTCTTGTAAAAAGGTTCCTGAAGCTACTTGGGATGAGATTAGACAATATTTGAATTTAGTAGAACCAAAAAAGGAAGAAAATGAGCCATGTTGTATGGAAATATATTCTCCAGGTTCTCCTAGAAGTGGTGATCCGGGTTGGAAGTATGGTCATAACTCGAATTCGAATGACAAAAATCGTATTAGTTGTAATTATTGTGGAAAGGATACTAATGGGGGTATTTATCGGTTCAAAAAGCACCTTGCCGGTATTAAGGGAGATGTTGCCTCATGTAAAATGTTCCTGAGGCTACCATGTAGGAGATTATACAATATTTGAGTTTAGGAAAGCACAAAAAGAAAGAAAATGGTGAAGAGGCACCAGTTAAAGTAGCTAAAACTCATAGGGCTTCATCTGCACAGAGTAAGAGGGAGGTAGAAGAAGAGGAGGAAGAGGCAGATTCAGAAGAAACAGAGAAGGACGAACGTTATATTGAAGATGGAAATGACTTTGATGATGATAGTCTCGATTCTGATGCATATGATGAGGCTTACCCACGCCTTCTGATGATGATGACTGAAGAATGAAGATGCTTGACTCTTGGTATTGACTATTGAGTCCTAGACTGTATATTTTCTGAATTTCTGTATATTTTCTTGTTCTTATTTTTAGTTTTTAGTTTCTACTATCTAACTCTTTTGTGTAAGCGTGTATGGTTTTAGCATTGTATGAAAATATGGATTATGGACTATCTAAATTCTCCTCATTCATGGCAATATGGATTATGGATTATAGATTATGTGTTATATAGTTATACTATTAGACTTAGACACTTAAACTAAGATTTTTCTTTCTACTGGGGGGTCCAGGTTCTAGGCGCCTGCCTAGGTGCTGAGCGGCCTGGATGTCCCCGGCCGCCCAGCGTTTTTTGAAACACTGGGTAGCGCCCCGGTGCAACTTGGTCGAGGGTGGAAAATGGACCACTATCAAGGGCAAAAAAGTACTTTTTACCTGTGAAAATGAGGGATTTTGTTTTTCTTGTGTTTGGGGGGTGGGGGGTGGTACCAGTAGTGCCACCGAAAATAAAATAAAAAAAAGGCATAAGGCCCCTTGAAAAAATAAAAAATTAGTTAAGGTCTATAAAAATGGCTTAGGGCTCAAGGCCCTTTTCTCTTGCTCACAGTGTCATGGGTTCTTTCTCTACGTATAAAAAGAGGAGGAAAAAGAAGATGCCATATAATTATTCGATGTGAGGCCTCTCTTTCACACACGGACCTATATGTTCTCACTCTACATATAAGAAGATGAAAAAGAAGAAGATGACTTCCAAGTGTTCGATGTGATCTCCCCTCCCCTCGCAAGAAAAAAAATAATAACGCGTATCTAGGCTCCCCCCTCTTTTATTTATTTATTTAACATTGCTGATGGCCGTTGGGTACCAATAAAAATTGGAATCCTACTTTTTTGAGATAATATTGTCAACATAAGGGACTGATTTCTAGAAGTAGAAATAGTTGGAAGACCAGTTGTTTATCCAGTTAAGGATATGCCTTTCTTGGTTGTATTAGGGTTCTATTCCTAGGGATTAAAACACTTCATTGTGCGAAGCTCTCTTGTCAAGTGATTGATGACCCCTTGATTCAAATACCCGAGAAGGACACTACTTGAGGATCTGAGGCCTCACTTCTGAACCTAGCAACAACTAGAGATGTGTTAGCATCCATTGAATTTCAGTGGATACAAAAGATGGACGCATAACACATTTAATTCTAATATGTTATGTTTTTCTAGTTGTGTAGAAGATGAACATATTTCCTTTGAGCACTTTGGAAAAAAGAAGTTCTTTTGCGTGACTATCATATGCACAAACTATAGTTGTTGGAAATGCCTGTGATCCGAATTGTTTAAGGAATTGAAATCACTTGTGGTGATGCAAAAGGAGTATGGGAAATTAAATCAGATCTTCTTTCAGTCTTAAACAAACAAAAAACTCGGCAATAATGGAGGAAATAAGTGGCTGTAAATCAAGCTAAAAATGAGAGGAACCCTTTCTTATAATACAAGCCTATCTCCTCAATATATGCCCCAAAATAAAAATAAATGAAAAACCCATAAGTACTCTTTATTCAACATTCTCTTTCTCTCTCTCTCTCTCGCTCTTTGACTCCCGTGCTCCATAAACCCATAAATCTATCCCAAGTCATACAAATCCCTTCTCTCTCCAAGTCAAAAAATCCCATATCTCCTCAATATATGCCCCAAAATAAAAATAAATAAAAAACCTATAAGCACTCTTTATCCCACATTATCTCTCTCACTCTCTGTCTGTCTCTTTCTCTATCTTTGACTCCCATGCTCCTTAAACCCATAAATCTATCCCAAGTCATACAAATCCCTTCTCTCTCCAAGTCAAAAAATCCCAGAACTCCCAACACGGGTAGATCTCTTTCCCCTCACGTTAACTACTTTTATCCACTTTCTTTATCTACATTACCCATACCTATGAAACTATGGAAATGGCTATCCTACCCCCTATTCATTAACTAAATTCCCCTTTAGTCCCCTCATGCCTTAGTACAAAAATTAGCCAACAAAAAAAATAAAAATACAACCATACCACTAATAAAAAAAATAAAGTACAATAAAGTTTGGAATAAATCAATTTTTCTGAATTCAATTTGCATCATCCTCCCCAATTTGGTGAAGACTCGACTCAGTTGGGTTGGCATCACCATAGAACACGAAAATATGTTAAACATTGAGGATTGGGGAGATATTCCATCCGCTTGGCAACTCCAAGTCATATGCATTGTCATTGATCTTCTTCTTGATCCAACGAGGTGCAATCTTCTTGGCTTTGAGCTTTTCATAGGTGCCAACAGGAAACCGTTCTAGTATTAGATACACCATCACGAGATCTCCAACTTTGAACAGTTGCACACGACATTGTCGATTCACAGCATCCTGGTACTTGTCATAGCTCTCCTCCAACTTCCTTCGAACACTCTTATGTAACTTCTTTAGATATTTAGGCATGCTCGCGACATCTGGATCTGCAGTCTCACATTGCAGATAAAGGAATTAAATATGAAAATGTAAAGGAGACATACCATAAACCATTGAAAAAAGTAGTCTTCCCAGTAGACCTATTTGGAGAATTATTATAAGCAAATCAGCTTGAGGTAATATCAAATCCCACACTTTCACATTTTCTCCAACCAAACTCCTTAGCATGTTGCCCACACTACTATTGATCACCTCGGTTTGGCCATCTATCTGGGAATGATAAGCACTATTGGACTATAACATAGTAGTTTTCGCCCATAAAGTCATCCAAAATGGCTAAGCAAACGGGTATCACAGTCTGAAGTAATGG